CTTACCAGTCTGCGTGACACAAAATCATCCAGCACATGTATCCAACAACTGTTCGCAGCCCCACAAACAATCCTTCCCGAATGTAACGCAAACTCTTCCGGTTGTAACTTCGCCCCTGCCCCTTTCCCTTCCTTCGACCACATCTTGACACCGCTCTTATCCGCTTCCTCATTTGTTCTGCCGCCTTCCCTCTCTGCCATACCTCCCACTTCCCTCTCTTTCTGTGTACCATCAATGGTGCCGTTGCACTTAATCCTTCACTTCCATAAATCCCGAATAATTCCAACATCAATTCCACCGCTCCTTTCGCCCTCCCCCCCTCCCTGACCATCACCGCTCCTTTCCTCCCTTGGTCTCCCTTCGAGCCTCTCATCTGCACTTCTATCTTATCTGCTCTCAACCTCTCCTGTCCTTCCAGCTGCTTATCGCCCTCGAAGAATGCTACGTCCCCCCTGCACAGGCAGTACACTTCGTGGATTTTCCCATCCTTTTCCGCAAACAACTCTGACGCCCTCAACATCAGCAGATATGTCAATGCCAATCCGATCCATAGCACTCTTCCCCCTGCACCCTCACCGCCAACATTCTGCTGCAATGCACTCAACATTCCCCATGTCAAAGGTCTCCTCACCCTTGCTTGTGTACCTTTCTCCACGTGCCCTCTCTTTATACCTTGCGCTACCCCTTTGATGTACGGGTTACTCAACGGCAAAGACATGTTCTGAAACTGTTGATAGAAATTTACCGCCACGAGCTTCCTCATGATCGTCGAATCCCTGTTTCCAAGAAACGCACTACAGTAAGCTATGTACTCCGCCAGCTCCCCCACTATCTCTCCTTCCTCCGACCCCTTCGCAATCCATGGGCTCTTCTGCACTCGTTCCCTACACGTTATCCACATGTTCCAAGCCCCCGTGTAAGTTTTTCTAGTCGACGCTGCAACTCTTCCAGGTGCGTAGCTTTGCGCAAAATCTCTGCACATAGCTGCTGCTCCTCGGCCTTCAGCTCCTGCACCTGAAACACCAGCCCCCAATCGTCTCCAAGGCTCCCATCATCCTCATCAGTGCCCCTATCCTCGCTCTCTTCTTCCCCCCCCCCCTACACTTCTTCACCTACGACGGCGCTCTCATTGTCCGCCCTCATCATCACCGCCTCTCATTCCCGCTCCGGCCTATCCCCCCTCGAAATTACCGTCACATACGCCGTCATCACCATCGCCATTAGTTCTAGTACATTTATGCAAATAAAGTCCCCTTCTCCCTTCTGCCTCGCCCTGATCGTCCTTCCTTGTACCTCCTCCGGCAACTCGTACCTCCAGAACACCCTCGTTTCCATGCAA